GCGGTGGGTCAAGCGGGGGAAAACAATGCAAGGGTGGGGATGCTTCTGGACCTCACGGTAGCCCGGGAGTGGATGGCACGACGAATAATGAACGGAACTCCGATCGGGATGAGGGGTCCGATAAAGAAGGTAGTGGGAATGGTGGCGGCGACAACAAACGGAAGCATGGGTCGGCGGGGGATGGGAAGCGGAAGCGGCGGTCGGCGGGCCGCAGGGAGCAGTCGGGAGCGGGCGATGGGACGGGCGAAGGAGGGGGTGGGCGTGGTCCCGGTTGGGAAGATGACCCGGACAAGGAAGATGACCCGGATAAGGACCCAGGCTCGGGGGACGACGAAAACAAGGAGAAGGTGAGCGGTACTTCTACCGTCCTGTCTGTGTCTTGCTCGGATGGCAACAGCAGAAACGGCGTTTTCTTTTCTGGTGGTGCCCGGAACCAAGGGGAAAAAAGAGAGACAAGGGGAAACCCCGATAATCTACAGTACAGTATGCCCTCCTGTCAAGTTCTGAGATACTGTATAGGAGTTGTGCGATTAAGGTTTTTCCTACCATTTTTGTTGGTGTTCGGGTCGCCAAAAGTCCGCAAACCCGATTAGCTCGCGACTTTGTGCAACAGATGCGCAGGGAGAGTCATATACATGACAGAAGTAATGACAGCAGCCTGCTATGGTCGCCGCATGGATAAAGGAAAAAGGGACGGAAAGGAAGAAAGGTTCTACAGAAAGTTTTCCGCGTTCCGGCGCTTGTTGCATGTGTTTGACTCGACGTAGCTTCACGACCCCGACGCCGATTCATTCGCAAGGTTCAGCCGAGAGAGAGAGAGAGAGAGAGAAATAGAGAGAGGGAGGGAGCTGCAGCTCGTATTTTTAAGAGTCAAACCTGCTGTGGCCTTATTCGCTGTTCCTCTTCTTGGATTTCCTAACTTCATGTTAGATGCTACGCTGCTGCTGCTGAGCTTGTGGATGCTACTACCGTACGCAGCTGTTGCTGCTCTTCTTGCAGAACTGCAGTGCACCGATCAACGTTTCTTTACCTTTCGGCGAAGGTACTCGCATACAAGTAAAGACGCCGGTGGCCGTCGCGGTGTGGACTATGTACTTATCGTTGTTGGCTGATTGGAGAAGAATGTAGTCTCACAGAAATCGTTTCATCTGTTTGGCGTTACGTTTTTCGTGCTGCTTATTTCGACGCCTGCCGTATTTGAGAGCAGGAGGACATGTGGGAGCCGGGTGATTCTGATGGAGTAGTCGCAGTCGGTCGGGAATTCGACGTTGATGCTGCAACGCCAAGGGAGACCTGGGACAAGGTGTTCGACATATGCCTCTGGGGCCTGGAGAGTGCAGGGCATGAGACGCTCAAGTCCAAAAGGCGTGTCGCGGTGAGTCCTGCGGTGAAAGTATGTCGCCCAACTCGCGATTCTCCAACAGGGGTACGACGTCCCGACACGTTCTGCGTTGTATGCGTTTCCCAGTAACCGTTTTGTGGTTCGCCGTTTGTGGTTCGGCTCCTATGTTCGCGTTCGCAGCTGAGACGGATAAATCGAGACGTCTACTGTGAGATATTATGCAAGCACAACGGGTCGCCGCGCTTCAAGGAGTACGTTCCCACGGCAGGGAAGAAGAATCGGGAGCGTAGGTCCCAAAGAGTGAGTGGATGCACAACACATGGGAGACATGAGTAAAATGCACATGGCAGATTTGTGCAAAACAGCGTTCAGTGGCGGGCGAGGTCCTGTGTTTCGTCGGGTTGATTTGCTTCGGAATTCGTTCACATCTTGGCTCGAACCGAAAAATTAGAGCGCGCTGTGATTCCGTTCCGCCGGTGGTACAGGTGGGGTGCCCGTTCAAGGTGGGCATATACTGGAGGTCGGGAACCCTAACACCCGCGGTGACCCAGGTGGGTTTTTCGTGTACGCGTCACATTGTGTCGTTCTCTGGTGAAAATGTTGGGGTTAGAAAAAGACGTTGACGCTGCTACGCACGATGTATGTATCCCCCCGAGAGACGACAATATCGCGGCCTCGACCTTACCGGACGTGATATTGCCCTCATTCCCGCCATCACACATGCAATGTTCGTTCGCGCTCCGCCCCCTGCGTGTGCTTTTGATAAGGCCGACTTGAGGCACAACCACGACCCCCGAGGTGCCGTGTCGAAGGCACAGGAGAAAGTACTCCCGCTCTCGTTCATTGATGACAGAATGGACGACATTCGCAAGTGGACCGCGGCAAACCTCGGCGCACAAGAAATCTTCAAGCTGCTACATGCTGACGGTGAAAACCGCCTCTTATGTCGCCAGGGCAAGAAGAAGGTGAGTTGCGACTGTTACATCTGTTCCCCGGTGTAGATAGAGCACACGTCCATACGTTCAGTCAGCGAGGACCACTGTGCGAGGTAAACCAGTCCGGGTCGCGCCGCCGCCGGCAGGTGTAGTCGAAGGGGAACCGGGTGCTCCAATTCATTCCACAAGCATGAAGCGCGAAACTTCCTAGGAACCTCGGTGGGGGGTATCCCCTGTAACACGACAGTGCCCCGAGAATATTGCACAGCAGTGCAAAGCATTTAGAAATCGTATGCCGTTAGAAATGTCTGATGACATCTTGCCAAATCCGAGTACGAACGCCGAGAAAACGATAGACTACGATGTCGTCCATCGATACGCTGAGTTGTGCCCGCGGCGGAATCCTTGCCTGTCACTCTCCCGACTGTTCTCGGTATTTATCGCCTCAGAATTTCCTATGTCCCATGTGTTTCTGTAGAACCTTTGGTTCGTCCATTCCTTTTTCGGGGCTTGTTCCTGAAGAGGATTTCGGCCGTTCACGTGTTCAGGTTCGATCTTCGATCTATTTTCCGTTTTTTTCCTGTTACGGTCTCATTTGCAATACGGCCTTCGTTTCATGTTCCCGTTTCTGTTGCGCCGGTCATTTTCCCTCCGTTTTCCCTTGGGTCGTGCTTGTTTTGTTCGTGTCTTCGCCCAAAACATGAACTGAAGGTGTGGAACTTCATGGCAAAGGTGCAAGAAGAACTGTACTGCTCTCCGGAGGACGCGGCAAACTTCCTCGCTACCCTCCGGAGCGACCCCGGGATGTACGTCGCCAACACATTTGACGACCCCGGGAGGCTGGTTAACGTGTTCTGGGCCACCGCCGACCAGCAGGAGAGGGCGGCGAGATTTGGGGGGTGCATCCAGATGGACACCACCGTCTTCGCGAACAGGTGATCGATACTACGCATGTAGCTCCGACCGTGGCGGAACTTTTTTCGCAAGTTTACATAACACACGGAACTCCCCTCGAGCACGCCCCCTCGGCCGAATCTGAGACGACAAAGATGATTGCCGTCCCCACGGTAAAGGTATCTGAAAACTAACCTGCCGATGGCACGGCCGCAGGTACGGATGCCCGGTCCTTCTGTTCGTGGGTGTTGATGACGAGAACCGTAGCTGCATACTGGGCCAGGGTCTCCTACGCTCGGAATGCGCAGAGACGTTCGAGTGGTTCCTCACTCAATACGAGAGCGCCGCTGGTGGATGGGAACGGCGGCCGAAGGTGAACTTTTCGTCACCCTGGTGTGTAAGGGTAGTTCATTGGTGGTCTCTGCCATTTTCAGAGGTCAGGGGTAGAAACCCCCACGATGGGTGGAGGATCGGAGACGCCGAGAATGCCCCCCAGACAGGGGAAGGGGCAGGTAGAGATGGTGTCGCAACTACCCATGACCCGCCTGTTCTAGACAGCATCCTACGTATGTATTTCCGCGTCGGTCGACGATGAGCTCGCCCAATCTCTTTTCCTCTCTGGGGTTTTACCGCAAATCCGCATTTCCAAACGCTTTCAAAGCCCAATCTGAGTGTCTCATCGAATTTTCGTTATTCATTGATGGATTTTGCCTTATCTATGGTGTTGAAGGTCATCCTCACGGACGCCGATGTCGCCATGACCTCGGCCGTACCTTCTGTCTGGAAGGGTACGCAACACCTCTTCTGCCTGTGGCACGTCAACAAGAACCTTGTCAAGAAGTGTGCCGGCGCCCTGTCCGACCACGACCGAACGCGGATGCTTCGTTCCTTCCGCAGCGCAGCTTATGCAGTTAATGCCGAGGTGAGGTTCGAGGCCTCGTCGCCTGCGCCAGGGACGCTTTTCCGCTCAAAACTCTCCGACTGCTTAGGCAGCTATTTGATCCAAACATGGCCAAACATGGCCTTGCCTGTTGCAACCCGCCACCGTTGCGCGTATTTCCAGGCCTTCGCATCCAGCAGGGGTCAGATGGAGCAGATTTCTACGGGAACGAAGTGCGAGGAATACGTCGACAACCTATTCAAGTAAGTGCGTGTCGACCAACCCAAGCATATTCTCCGCGTTCTTCCCACTTTGAAGTCGCCCTGGTATGGAAGCAGCTACCTCTGTTGTCACTTTGCGACGTCAACATCATTGTCAATCGGACGCAAACACTTTCGGCTCGCAATACCCTGGACGATGACATTTAGGAACAAGTCGAAGTGGGCGTTCTACTGCCGGACGACGACTCTCGCCCTAGGCATGGCTGCTACCCAACGCGTGGAGGGCTTGTTCTCTGTGGCGAAACGTATGGGAGTTATCAAGCAGTTGTCCCTCTGCGCTCTTTGGGGCGTCTTGAGACGTGTCGACACGTCCCCTAGCGATTGAGTCCGCCAGGCGAGTTTCATGGCGTTACCACTCCCGGATTTCAGTAATTCGCTTCTTCTTCGCATCGTGTGTTTTCCGCTTCCCATAACTTCACTTAAGGTGAGGTTGCCAGCCAATTCTGCACGCGGGTGAGTCCTGTTAACGGCATCATACACGGCTGTGGTCAACGGAGACCCACGCAATGCTACCACACNGTTAACGGCATCATACACGGCTGTGGTCAACGCAGACCCACGCAATGCTACCACATAATCGCTGCTTCGCTACCCTTTTGGTAAACCTCAATCGATTCTGTCTGGCCCTCCTGTCAATACCGTCAACCTCGTCCAACACTAACCAGGACGTCCGACGCGAGCTCGGGGGATCGCAGTCGTACGACGTGGAGCGCATCGTCGACCGCCAACCCGCCCAAGACCCCGTCAAGGTGGGGCAAATTTCCGACCTTCGAGAGCGCCTCAACCTCTTGCAACCTCCGCCACCCACCACGGACCTCGACGAAGGATGCGAGAATGGCCGTGAGGGAGGATCCCTCGTCGACACCAGCATGTNCAACCTCTTGCAACCGCCGCCACCCGCCACGGACCTCGACGAAGGATGCGAGAATGGCCGTGAGGGAGGATCCCTCGTCGACACCAGCATGTGGGCGCGCACCTCTCTGGAGGATTTCTTGTCCCTGACCCAAGATGTTCCTACCTCTGCGATCTTCGCCGTGCGGTACAAGCTTACCCCCAATCGGCCGAGCCACCTGATGGTTTTCGGCCCCGGGGACTTTCACTTGTGCTCATGCTTACGGCTCCTGCAGCACGGCCTACCGTGCAGACACTACTTCGCAGTTCTTCTTAGCTTCATCGGCGATAAGTACTTGCCTGGGTCTGGCCACACCTTCAACGCCGCGTGTGTGCACAACCGCTGGAGACAGGCGCCCGACGTGGACGACGAACCTTGGAGCGTCTCACTCGTGTTGGGATCAGCAGGGCACGGCGGCGGCTGGGACGGGCTTCACGACAACGACGATGACGTCGCCCCTACCTATGACAACAATGGCGACATGGATGGCGCGCTTCCCCAGGATGCGAGAAAGGTGGCCGATCAGCGCCGAGCGTTTGCCACCATGATGGCAAAGAGTAAGGAAAATGTCAGCGAGATATTGAGGCCGGTCAACACCGCCGAGGCCCTAGAGATCCAGAGAGCGGTCGACGAGTGTGTTAAGTTCCAACTGACTAAGAGGCTAGGCATGCTCGACGGTACTGCAATAGGTCCCGGCAATCCAGAGATGGCCCCTAAGAATGGGAGGCCGAAGGGTTCAACAAAGCAGGCTACCGGTACCATCGGCCAAAGTAAGGCTAGAAGCAGAAACCCTGAGGGACAGATGGGCACAACTCTTGAAAAGACAAGGCTCAGGGATTCGTACGGGCCTAGGTCTGGACGTGGGAGGAGAGCGAGCGGGGATGGACAATCGGCGAACGGAAACGCCTCGTAGACCTGAGTATGCTCGCGGCCGGTGTGCGGATGGCGACGATGGACTTCGGCTTACCTCGCCCAGTGTCGCGACGTTGGTACACTAAGTTCATANTCGGCTTACCTCGCCCAGTGTCGCGACGTTGGCACACTAAGTTCGTTTCGCAATACGAGTATCGTCTTGTGGGCGGTCATGTGGTCCCCCTTAGGGTTGTGCCATCGTCTGCGTCTTGTGTTCCATTCATATCCAAATGTCTTGTGGGAGGTTTCACGTCGCCGTGTGCGGGGCCAAGTGTTGGGCATAGGCAGAGTTTGAGTCTAAGTTTAGGGCGGGGTTAGACGGAAAAGGTATAAACACCTGGGGGAGATAGAACGTGAGACCTCACCAACACTACCACAACTGCAGTTAAACTAACGCTAACCGGAAACTACATTACGTTAGGCACTGGCGGTTGTTTCTCAAGTGCTCTCGTGAACTGCGCGGTGGCCAGGGGAGTCGACAGGCGATACAGCGACGAAACTATATACGGGAACTAAAAATTCAGCGACGAAACTAACAAGATACCATCTCACAGACGTCGAAGCATTGTGCGCAGCGAGCTCTGACATTGAACGTCCTACGCTGGGACAACCCCTCTTCGGTTCGCCGTGCCCCCTTGCGAGGGTG